TTCCTTCTTCATCGTACTGATAGAGGTCTCCTTCTGTACTTAAATTGGTTTGCTCATGTAGAGGGGATAATGCCAAACAGGAAAACCCATAGAATTGAATGTGTGGTACACTGTAAGAACACAGACTGTGATGCACATCTGGATGATGCAAAGTTAAATACTTTAGTATATGAGAATTGACATGTTTAGGATACAATCTACAGGACTGTGGAAATCTAATGATGTAAAAAGAAAGAGGAAAAATGACGATGTAAGCTATGTATATATAACTTGTTAATTTTCACTAATGACCCCATAGATCCCTTGCAAATGACAAATCAATTAGTGTATGAATAAATACATGTGTTAAGAGAATATGACAAGGACATGATCACACAAGTGTACATCACTATAGACGGCCTTTAGTTAATTAAAGTGTTGTCCACAGCAGAGTTTAACAGCTTTTTGAGATTACTGCTAATCTCACTTCAAAACCTGTGGCCAGTGTCTGTTTTTATTTCAGTTGTCAAAAAATTTGAAAAAGAGCTGCCACGATATAAAAGGCAAGATTTTCTATATAATGGAAAGGCACACTGAATAATAATTTCAACTAAGGAAGGAAATTTTGCCAGTAGAAACACTAACAGCTTTAGAGACTAGTTTTCAAAGTAACCTTGTAACACAGTACAAGTGACACAGAGTTCATAATTATAATCCCATTTGTGGTGCTGAGATGATTCAAGTGTCTAGCTCCTGAAACTTGTTAAAAAATCAATTTTTACTTATTTCTGGATTTGGTTTCAAAATAGGCAAAATTGGGGTTTTTATAACAATAGTTGGAAAGTGGTAACATATAAGGCAGAGGTGAAAAGGTACGTATCTAGGTACATAATGAGCTAGACAAACAATCTGAATATGCAGGCCACCAAGTATAACAGGATGCAAATTTACCATTTTAACCCTATTGGTTACATACAGGTCCCAATGTATAAATAGGACAGAAATCTACCATGTGTCCCCAGAGTATCCATAAAGGTCACTACATATAAAGAGGATGCAAATCTACTATTATTACTCCCCATTAGTCATATGCAGACTTGAGGAGCAATAAAATATTTTATTCTTTGCATTAAGTGCCTCAAATTCTGACACTATTTGATATTACTCACCCAGGTAAAATCTATTATATTTTATAATTGATTATATTTTATAACAGATATGGGGATTCCTTTGTGTTAATTAGGTTTTTCTTTATGAATGTGATTCACTTAAAAAATATTCAACACTATGGAGTTACAAAAGTAAACAGAGGGGAAAAGTATATAAGAGACAATGATTCTTTTTTTTTTTTCTTATCCTTCTTCCTTTTTTTCTGGTTTCTCTTCCATCCTCTTTCTCCTTTCACCTTTTTTTTTTTTTGCCATAATCATAATCATCACCATAATGGCAAACATTGTTGAGTCCATGTGGACTAGTAATTTATATGAACTAATACATTAGAGAGTTTATGAGATGGCTATACCAGACCCATACTACGGAGTCAGGAAATTGACCACGCTCCCTTAGCTGGGGTTCTATAGAGCTGGGATTCAAGTCCAGACAGGATGAATCCAGGGTTTCTTTTCTCAATCACAAAGTCTTTTAATTCAGCCAGGCTTTAGGAAAGAAAGCTATCTCTTTAAGGAAGAAAGAATGTCAGAAGAACAGTTCCTCCTTTACGGCAACTTAAGCATTAATTAAATTTTGGCACACAAATTATCAGATATACATCTACTCAACAAAAAGCTATCAATTGTGTGTACATCTCTCCTGGTTCAATTTAAACTCATGGTCACAAAGTGAATATGACAATTGATTACTCAGAAACACTCCTATGTCTTTTTTCTTTCTATAAAAGAATACATAAAGATCTTCCAAACTTAAGTGAATTTGGTACAATAATAGGAAAAGGGACTGAGTCCTCAAGAATTTTGTTGAATACTGAGTTCAATAAATAAGTAAATAAATGTATATATTTAAATTGGAAAATTATAATAACAGTAACTGAACTATGATTGTTGCTTTTGGAAATAGACAATCTACAATTGTTTTGTTGGAGCTAAAAAGGAAATTTTTTTCAATAGTTTTCTGAATGCTCATTATTTGTTAGGCATTATAATTGAATGACTTTGTAAGAAATGTGCGTTCTATGGTCTGAATGCTTGTGTTTTCCTCCAAGTTCATATGTTGACACCTAATCCCCAACATGAAAATATGAGGAAAGAGGTGCAGCCCTCAGGAAAGGGATTAGTTCCCTTGTAAAAGGGGCCTCAGGGAACCCCGCCTGCCACATGAAGAAGACCCAACAGCAGACACCTTCAATAAGACAGGAAGCGGGGCCCTCAACAGAAACCAGGTCTGCCAGCACCTTGATCTCATACTTCCCAGCATTCCTAACTTTGAGAAATAAATTTCTGCTGTTTATAAGACACAGTTTATGGCATTTGTCATTGCAGCCAGAATGGACTAATATATTTCATAATTAAGTATTTTGAATGTACATGGATATTTCTAAATCACTGAAAATCACTTCAATAAATAAGCATTTAGCAGCACCATCAATTTACTCAGCAAATTATTTTCTTGACTGATTCTGCTCTGTTCTGAACAATTGAAATTGAAATCTGACACTAAATCAATGGGGCTTTATTGTGTTTATTAAAATTCTACTCAGCTTTCTCTTCTGTATTCTATATAATTTCAAATCATTTAAGCTTTCTTCATTGAAGGAAAAGGGTACTCTTTCCTAAATGCTGCATTTTATTACATTATTTCCTCTGGATCTGATTCAATTTTTTTTTCTCTCTATTAAAATAGGATAGCCCAGAACTGGGAATAAAGACCTCACAGATGCTGAAGAGGTTGCAGCAATGTCAACAGCAACACTTGCAGCAGCAGCCACCACTCAATACTAAACCCTATAGAGTGACATTGTTAGAAACGTATCTTAGTCCATTTTCCATTACTACTATAAAATATCTAAGAATGAGAAACTCATAAAGAAAAGAGGCTTGTTTAGTTTTCAGTTTTAGAGGCTGAAAGTCCAAACAGCATTATACTGGCAGCTCTGACAAAAGCCTCGTGACAGATTGTATCACAGTGGGAGAGTGTAAGAGAGGCAGAAATCACATGGGGAGGCAGGATGCGTCTTCTTCCTTCATTTTTTTCATTTTTCCTTTTTCCTTTTGCAGTGCTCTGGGTTGAAACCAGACCTTGTGTATGCCTGGCACGTAATGTACCACTGAGCTATACCCCCAGCCCAGGCTTATTCTATGATTTGCTCTCAAGAGAACTACCAGAGTCCCTTGAGAACCACCTTAATTCCTCCTGAGGGTGGGGTCCCCAGTGACCTATCAATTTCCACTAGGCCTCACCTTTTCCAGGTCCCCCTTCCTTTTAACATATCCACACTGGGGTCCAAGCTTCCAACCACGATCCCTGAGGGACACACTCAAACCACATCCAGACCACAGCAGTGCCTCACACACCTTCTCACGCAGTCCTCACACAGCTTTAGATGACGTCCTCACACCTAGACCCATTACTTGTGTGGACCTCTCTTGCAGACGACATCTAGCATGGCTGAATTTTCTTCAAAATTGTTTAAGTTTTATCATCTAATTCTCATTCAACCCCTGACAAGAGGAACAAGGGAACCAAAAATGGAGAAGGTGCCAATAGAGCACATCAAGGTGAGCAAGTCTGAAGGGGTAGCCTGAACATACAAGGGCACATGAGAAGGAAGAAAGCTCTCCTGCTTTTTTTTTTTTTTTTAAAAACAGGGATTTAAACCCAAGGGCACTTAACCACTGAGCCACTTCCCTGGCCCCCACCCCACTTTAAAAAAAAATTATTTAGAAACAGGGTCTTGCTGAGTTTCTTAAGGCCTCACTAAGATGCTGAGGCTGGCTTTTAACTCTTAATCTTCCTGCCTCAGCCTCCCAAGCTGTTGGGATTATAGGCATGCGCCACCACGCTTGGCAACGTTTCCTCCCTTATTAGTAAGGTAGAAAATTAGGAAGTCAGAAAGGACCACCAGGTAGGAGACAAGGGCTCCAGAGCAGGACTGCTTCAGAAGAAAAGTAGCAAGTCCAGGTGAGGCTGAATATCTACATGGGAAGGAATATTTCAATACTGGGAACGAAAGTACCCTCTAATCCCAGTGTTTCCTGTGATTGGCAACTAATGAGAAAGGGAAGAACAAGACAAATTATAAAATAGCAGCTAACATTACTATATGTTCAACATTATGTTGACATTTAAACTTTTTGAAATATCCCAGTGAAAGAGGTAGGGCTTTGCTATCCCCACTTTACAGATGATAACCAAGGCCTAGAGGGTGACATTAATGAATAGGGCTAGTTACATCACTTAAAAACAATTCAGATTTACTTATCATTTCATCCAAATAACAGAGAAGTAAAGAACCTCATTCTACTGCTGATGTGGCAATAATGGCTACTCTGATTCATTTACACCACAAGGGCTCAGTCAGGTAGCAAGTCAGGTTGGGTAAATGTGGACCCCCAAACACACACCATTCTCAATGGCAGAGTTGACATCTCCTCACTCTGGATCTCTCACCAGCACTCTTAATAAGCTCCCCAAACTTTCCTGGGTTGTTTCCTGCTGATTCTCTGATGAAGACGTTAGTGAGTCCACAGATGGTGCCAGGAGAAATTATATTTATATACACAGTAACCAAATCCAGCAAGGTAAGAATTTTTAATAATGGAAACATAAATACTGACCTCAATTCCCAATTCTATCAGGTAAAACAAAATAAAACAAAACAATCAAACAAGAAAAATCCCATAGTTAAAAACAACTGTACTTTTCATAATGTGACAGAAAGGAAAAGATATTTTTAGAAAAGACAGAGATTTTCTTACACAAACCAAAACTAAAATAATATTACACCAATAAAAACATCTTTAGAAGAGACTATAGATTTTAGAAAACCAGACCTATCTATATCTTACCTGATGAAAACAAGCTTGACCTTGGATGGGGCAGTCTTAATAATGGCAGATGCATTTTGGTGACTTCTTCCATAGAGGATCTGATTATTTATCTGTTTGAGAGGAAAAAAAATGTACTTGTACAAACACCATCTGTATATTTTATGTAAAATATGTTTATATACATTTACAAGTCTATATGTATGTATTTGAAACTAAGTAATAAAGTTTTCCTTTTTTTTTTTTTTATTTCCTTCAGTGCTGGGGATTAAACCCAGGGCCTTATGCATGCTTTGTAAGTGCTTTACCACTAAGCCACACTCCCATCGCAAGACTATTAGTTTTCAAGGATTATATGTAGGTCTGAATAAGGCTAAAAATCTTTATTCTTTTTAGTACAAACACTAATTCTAAGCAGCCATAAGAATCTCATAAGTTCAATTTTGACTACAGTTAAAAAGAACATAAGTTCTTGATTGTTTCACTAAACAGTAGTTGAGCTCAATGTAAAAACTTTATGATAGATATTTCATTTCCTACAGCTTTTCCAGATTCCTAAAAAATGCAGAAAACAGACTAAACTGTAGTATTCACCAGAGCTCTGGAGGACCCATTAAACGTGATTCTGTAAATGTGTCAAGGTTATTACACAGCATAAATTTTGCTACCCCCGAGGAGATAAATATGTATTCCCGTTTTAAGTCAAATTGTAGATCAAATGCATACAAATATTTTACAGTAGACAATCAATGAGCCATCTGTTCATGTCTAAGATGAGGAATTTTTAAACTTGATTGCTGTCACCTACATATGATCTAAAAACATGAGATATAAAGTTTTCCATTCTAGATGTTCCCACTGATAGCCTGTGAGGATAGCTATAATCATTCTCTTATTTTATTTCATTGAATTAATAATTGCTCTTACATTTTGGCTTTATCTCTCTCTAATGAGCAATTAATAATAGTATACTATTATAGTAACCTTATTAACTGTGACCTTGATAATTTCTACTTTTTAAAACATAGTACAATATACTCTACAAGGGATAATAAAAAGGTATCAAAGACTTTAGTAATCAGAACCTACTTTGTCTGCCCTTGATGTCTCTGAAATTTTGCATTTGAAAATACACCTGACAAACCTTTGAAGACACAAAAGTATCTTTTTTTGTCACAACAGTTAAAATGAGAGAGCAGATATAAGTGAGTGCTTCAAAAGCTGGAATGAAAGTATAATGTTTGTAACTGTCTTGAAAGAAGCTTGTCCATCACCTTGCCAAAAGAGGCTGAGCCAGGCTTCACACCCAGGGCTGTTGTGGTGACCAGCTTGAGTTACCTCTTCATTCTACCTGCTATCTATCAGGCCTCCTGCTTCACCAAGCTCTCGATCTCACAGGAATCTGTTTTTTCACAACGTCATTTCTCTGGGACTCAGTTTCCTCCCCTCTAAAAGGAATTTAAGTACCTACTTCACAGAACTGTTCTGAGAATTAGAAGGGGCAATGCTTTTGCATTTTATTTATAGTGCTCTTAATACCCAATAATTCTTTTTGTGTTCAAAACCATTCATCTGTTTTTAGTTATAATATCATGCATTTAGAAATGTGTCCACTCTCCAGATTATATATTCTCTACAAATATTTTCTGTTTTCATGGTGTAATTTTTATATAATTAGTTTGTGTGTGTGCATGTGTGTGGTGTGCAAACCAGGTCCCAAAATAGCATGTTATATGTAAAACCTAATTTTATATAAATTATATGTATATGCATTATACACACACACACACACACATATATGCAGATAGATATCAATCTATATCTTTTTATAAGGGATGCTGGAGATTGAGCCCTGGGCCTTGCACATGCTAAGCATGTACTCTACCATTGTGCTACACACCCAATTTATATATATCTTCTTACCTAATTTAGTTATTTAACTAAGGGAAATGGCTGGAGAAATAATGTAGTCATTAAAAGTAATGTGAAAAAGCATACTTAATGACATAGGAAACGTCCAAAATGTATTAAGCAGCAAAACCAGGTTCCAGGATAGTATGTCTAGTCTGATCATGTTTTTTGCTAGTCATATTTTCCAACGTCATTAACTTACAAAGAACTACAAACAAGAGTCGTTAAATCATATTTGTAAATGAGATGACATGTGGAACAAACCTGATTCAAAGCCTGCACTCAGATAACTGTTTGCGAATGTTTTCTCCCTTGTGCCTGGCCTCTGCATCCAGTGAGCCTTTTATAAACCAAACCTGTTTAAGCCTGCCTTTGAACTCCATGACACTAGGCTTAAGAAAATTTCTTATTGTGCTTAAATGCTGGCAGAACATGGAAAAGCATCAGTGCAGGTACACAACATTTATTGAGTTGAGCTAAGCTCCTGAGGGCAGAAACTGGCATGTACCTCTTGGTATTTCCTAGATTGGCGTGCACAGCTTGTACACAGTGGTGCTCAGTGAGGATATGACGAACTGCAGAGCCTTGCGTGAAAGTGGCGCTTAATCAACTGCCAGTATGCTTCCTTTGACATGGGATCCAGCCTTCAAAATGATTGAAGTTTAAAAAAATTGGTTTTGATCAACAAAAAGCTTGAGCATTTTATATATATCTCACACTGTTTCAGGTTCACAGCCATTCCTACTTTTTAGCCATGAACCTCCATTCTGACAGAATAGACTATATGGTACTATAATCTTAAGAGGGAAAAATAATATCCCAAGTGAAGAAAGCAGTTTGTTAATTTTAATTTACTTAAGAGTGAACGCACAGTTCTGCCTTTCATGATGCTGTTTGCAAATGCTCAGAGGCTCTGGCAGGAGGAAGGCCTTCACTGCTGCTGTTTCTTCCAGTGCCAGCTACTGTGAATGGGACTGCTCCCTGCCAGTGCTCAGAGGCTCTGGGAAGCTGCTGTGCAGTGGGAAACTGGGAACAGAGCAAGCAACTCAAGACAGAGAGAAACGTGCCCTTATGGATTAAATCTCTGGGTAAAGAACATCCAAGACAAAGCCTCATTCTGCCCTTAAAAATGACACATGAGCAACTCTGAGTTTTAGGAGAGGCAGCTTTCCTTTTTGTTTTTGTATTGAAATTAAAGGTAGATGGCTTCCAACTACATAAGCAGTTTTTATATTTCCTCCTTCCTAAATGAAGTACTCCAGAGAAAATTCAGTAAGCAATTAGAAAGAATGATTCATTTTGTGCACAATTAACTTTAGACTGCCTCTGATTACTAAGAAACTGCTGTTTTCTGAGGGCACTATTTAAACAACAGATGTCTGTGATCTTCTAAGCACAGCATAGGCAAAAAACAAAGTCTCTACACCTCCCCCATAGTCTTTCAGGTTAAAGATAATCAATGACTACCCCTTACTGAGGGCTTACTGGGGCACAACACTGCCAGACTCTTCAATGTGTAGTATCTCATTTTAAATCTCAGACCAGCCAGGGTATTATTTATTTTAACTAAATTATGAAATTGAAACAGAAAAGCTGAACAATTTGCCAAGGTAATTTAGTGATGAGCTTAAAAGATTGTAATCCTAGGGCACACCAAAGTCACATGGCTGTAAGGCACACTTCAAAAGACAAAAAAAAAAAAAAAAAATCAGATGATTTTTTGAGGCCATCTTCATAACACGCCTATAAACTTTGATCAGTAACAGAAGGTGCCAGGCAGCTCCCATTTTAGGCCCTGGGCTTCTGAGATGAAGAGGTCAACACCAGTAGAGGAAATGTCCAGTGGCTGACTGGGAGGCTTTCTAAAGGCCCAAATGTAGTATGGAGTCTTGCAGGCTGTGTTTTTCTCTTCTGACGAACAGACTACACCCTGAACAATTATTAAACCTCTTGATATTTTTTCCCACTACATAAATATATACAGATTGAGCATCCTTATGGCTTTTTCTGACCCAAATCAAAGGAAAACAATTAAAATATTTCATTTGGGGGCAAATACTGCCCCTGTCCCTTCATAATCTGAGTGACCATTCAGATAACCTAGACAATGGGCAAACATCATTAAGTTCTACTTATTTCAAGTAAACAGAGAAATAGAGAAGATAAGTGCCTTTCCCAAAGTATTCTCCTTTTAAAGGTGAGTCAATGATATAAGGGAAGAATAAAAGCATTGTTGAGACGTGTCCTTATCTTTAATACTATCCTCTAATCAAGTTGGAACTCTAATGAATTGGAATAGGATCCTTATAAGAGGAGACACAAGAATACAGCAAGGAGCCCGTTTGCAAACCAGGAAGGGGCTTTACCAGGAAACAAACTGACCAGCACCTTGTTCTTGGGCTTCTAGCTTCCAAAACAGTAAGAAATAAATGTCTGTTGTTTAAGCTGTCCAGTGCCTGACATTTGTTACGGAAGCCCAAGTTGACTTATACAGTCATTTGAACTAATTTCTGTTCCTTGCAATTGAAAAGTCTCCACTGATACAGCTCTTGAGGCCCCTTCTAATTCTGAAAATTAATACATCTAAGTGACATAACTTATCTCTCAGATATTCAGAAATTATCCCTTAGCATCCTTAAGGAGAAAGAAGAAAGATAAAAAGGCTCCCTGTTCAAAGGGGCTTTCTGTGCTTTTCACCTAGATGCTGATTTTCTTTTCTGTTTTGGACTTTCTCTTCTGATTACTGTCAAAGAGGGTCTTCTGAGACTTCCAGATAGATAGTAACTTCTGTCTCAGCTCCATGATCTCTGGTCCCAGAAAGGTGATAACCTTTCATCTGATGGGTAAGTTAGTTCACTTTTTTCCAGGTTCTAAATTTTCAATTCAGTGAGTAAATTATAACAGCTTTGGGTAATGAGGTCCACAACCCCAAATGAGATACACCTGTATTTGCAAAACTTGTATAAAACAGGTCTTCATTGCATTTAATTTTTGCCCTTGTGGCTTGGTTTCTGCTATTGTGGAGGGAAAAAGAGCAAAGGCCTGTTATAAGGTAAGTCCCCGATATATCAAATATGGGAGACTTAACTGAAATATTTCAAAGTTTGTGTTGGAAGTAAAATGAGGGTTAATCCAGCAAAATAAATGCTGAAAATTCTTTTCTAATACTACATAAATTTTCACTTTAAAGGTCTTTAATGAG